AATAAAAAATGAAAAGACGCGTGTAGGTTGGCAACATTCATGTCCCTTTAAGAAGCTGTACCACCTTGAGTCACGTAAAAATGTGACTCAACGTAATACATGTGACAGCCTAGGGGTGGGCGATATAAACGATATAAGGTAGAAACGATATAAAATTGGGTAATGATACATTTTTGGCTCTACCGCGATATCACGATAACACATGATGTCACTAAGATGTGCACCCACGCCGACATTGGAACAACAGATAGGCAGTGACTGCAAGCATGTAGTGGGAGGAGGAGCGTTCTACACTTTTTGGACGTCTTTTTTTTTTTTTTTTTTTAGTTTAGTTTATTTCAAACAAAGAAAACATACATTTTTTTTAAATACCACAAACAGAAAAAATACATATCATCCCTTCTTCTGTGTTTGAAAAGGAGTAGGCTGAAGTGGAAACTTATATGTCCCTACCCCTTTATACAAGTAATTTTTACTTGTTTACTAAATCTAACACAAAACCTACATTAAAACAAACAAAATGGTACAAGTCACCAAAAACCACCAAATTATATGGAAAAAAACAACAAAAGAAAAAATAACATCTTTTTACAATTGATACAATTTACTTAGAATAAAGGACACCCACATAAATCATCTATTTTCCACTATATACTTGTTCAGAATATGTTTTTTATAATTAATTTTAAACACATTTATAGTTGTACTTACTTTGATTTCTTCTTCTAAATTGTTCCATAATTTAACCCCTATTATTGTGATACACATCTGTTTTAATGTTGTTCTAAACTTATGTATCTTTAAGTTTAGTGTTCCTCTCAGGTTATATCCTCTTTCTCTCTCTGTGAACAGTTTCTTTATTTTATCAGGCATTAATTTATTTCTTACTTTATACATTATTTGTGCTGTTTTGTATTTAACCAAGTCCTGGAACTTCATTGTCCGCGTTTTAATAAAAAGTTCATTTGTGTGACGTCTTTATTCTGCTGCAATATATTTTCCACATGAGGATTTTTTAAAGCATGTCATTTTGACATACATAAACAAAGGAAAAAATATATCGCAGTATATATCGTAATCGCACATGCTTCAGATTATATCGCAATATAGATTTGAGGCCATATCGCCCAGCCCTATGATAGCCCCATCTAGTGGACAACTTTTTTTCTGCGCATACCTAACCTGTAGTTATTGTCCACTTATCGTTATCAAGGTGAAATCCTCAATATATTGTGATATTGATTTTAGGCCATATCTCTCAGCCCTAAAATATAACCTAGCACCATAGAGCAATTCTTACAATTAATCAAATATTATTGCTACAAATACTTCATTTCATCTTAGTCGAGTAATCTACTCCATGAAACATGGCAGCAAACCTGCACTGCTTCAGACTGTAGAGGAGGTAAGTCTCTGCTTATGCAAAACAGGAACGAGGGTGTGAAAGAAATGTTGTGAAATACAGAAAGTGAAAATGCAAAGAGAGGTGGATGGAGGCAGTAAATGAAAAGGCAGATGGTGAGAAGGTGAAGACCAACAGGAGGAAGGAAACACCGGTAAAGCAATAAAGAACGTAATGTATGCTGAAAGAGGCAGAGACAGAATGAGATCGAAGAAACCAGAAGGAATGAGCATTATAAAAAGGCATCAGGAAATGGAGAGTTTCCCTGAATGTAATCAGCAAGAGTGTGTCAGGACAGATAAAGGTCAAATGCAGCTCCAGTGCTGAACAAATCAAACTAAAGTCAGCTCTGTCTCACACAAATATCTGGTTAATCAGTGAAGCAAATGGATGTCAGCCAGTCTCCTATTCTGGTGCAACATATGCACAAGTCTGTGCCGATGCTTAAAAAGGACCGTGGGTCTCACAGCGCATCTCCGTGCTGTTCATGCACAATGTTATCATTTTCATTTTGGGTCCATGTCAGCAGATCAGAGCATACAGACTGGCAGCATGTCACACATGTTCAACCCACACGGCAGCACAGTGAAATATGGAGATTTGATGCTGCTGCCGATATTTTAGGTCCAGGGTAACTATCAGGAATTTCGTTTCCAGATAAATACACAACTAAAATATTAGCTGATAAAATTATTGTCAACTGTACACATTTCTCTAAAGTTTCTGTGTGCAGGCATACCAACATAATCTCATAGAGATCCTAGGTTGGACTGCCCTCACCTCTCATACTGTGTTATAGATCTGGCTGGTACACTTTCATCTGATGAAAGGCGATTGGACAAATTTATCGACCACCGGCGACAGGCCAACCGTTTTTTAAGAGCAATATTTTGGGACATTACAAATTTCTACATAAAATCAGACCCTTTTTTGCAACTATTTCTATGTATATATTTATATTACACATAAATAGAAAGCTAGGATTCCTGTGCTTTCAATGATATATGCCAATGAAGGATATAACCATAACTCTTGATATAGTAAACACTTCTGTCAAACTACTCAGAAACACAAATCCATCCATCCATGGCAGCCACAACTGTGCACGTACTGATAAGCTCTGAGCAAATGGATGAGGACATCCTGATATTTCTGATGCTGAAATGTCTGATTTCCTGGAAAAATGATCTGCTTGACAGATATCTTCATATTAAATGTAAGTAAAGCAACAGGAGGGTGCTGCCTACCTCCCCACGGGCATCACCGATATTAAAAATGAAGAGCTCATTTGCAAAAACAGATTAAAATGTATTTTAGATCAACGTTAATTCAATATAAAAAAATACATTATTTGAACATCTAAAAAATGTACTTTGAAAAAGAACTTTAAAAAAATTGCATGATGATCATTTTCCATCACTTTCTACATAAAACATCTCCAGTTAAATTTAAACTTTCCTGAAATCATTGTTCTCTATCATGTGTGTTAATAATTACACAAGTCTACAAGAGTTTGTGTAACCATGATTCTTATTAAAAACATTGTTTTAAAGACTGTTCAGCCAGCCACAGCAGAAAGGTCATCTGTGTGAAAACACACACAGAGCACTTTGATAATGAACACTCCAAACTCACTTCACACTGCTGGAAGCGAGCCAACGCTAATGTATAAAAAAACAAATCTAGAGTTATTTGATTCTTCCTCTTTGTGTACCTGCTCCAGATCCCACACACACATTCCTTCTCATCAAGATAGTCTCACTCCATAAGTCTCTCCCTCAAAGACCAAGTCACTGTTTCATTTGCACCATTTTCTGTGTCGGTTGCATACCGAGTGGCTTTATCACACTCCCCCTCTATTTCGCTTTCTGGTTGTGAAGGCTTAACGGTAGCAAATGAACAACCGATTCCCCAAACAAACATTACCTGTGTGCCATCAACCTTTGATATCTTTGGTGCTATTATAACTACACACAAGTGTGCTATAAACCCCTACCAAACTGTGTACACAGACACAAAAGCTTCACCTGCAAAACAGAAAACCTTGCTTTTCTCTGCTTACAGTGAATTTAATTAGTGCTGACACGATGTTCTTTGTTTTGAGATTGTACTTCATTTGCAGGAAACATAAAGGCTTCTTTAGCAAATATGCAGTTAAATGTATCTGTTTTTGTGGCACAAATATTATATTTTTTATTCTAATTAATACAAATGATTCACAGGACATTGACTGGAGAGGTGAAAGCGTACTGTTATTTGAATTCATATAATTCACTTTTAAGAGTCTGGGTTTAAAACCTCCCCTGTGTACATTTCTGTCTGGTAAAAGGAAATATGGCATCCAGAAACAATCATAAATCAGTGCGCGGCCTGCAGTTACCCACATGCTCAAGCTCAGAAGCATATTTACAACAGAACAAGCAAACCTGTTGACCACCATTCACAAATGGACATGCATCCACCCACGCAAATTTTAAAAAGGTCTATTCTTTATCACAATGGCAAAGTGAGCACCCCAGAGAACCAGTAGGAATTTGTTGTTGCTGCAAAACAAAACACTGGAACATGGATGTTTTGTTGAAACAGAGGGGGGAAAGCACATTTTATGGACTTTTTATCTTAATAATTCTCAAATAAATCATAAGAAAATGAAAAAGGTCACCTGCTTGTTTTGCTGGTGGTTCCTGAGTATCAGATCTTCAGCTAGATTCATTTTCATTATCCCTGACCGATGCTGTGCTGTAGATTCATCCCATGCAGCGCCAACATCAGACATTGATGCAGCCATGAACATTCTGGGGGTTTGTTTGAATGTGTTCTCCTAGAGGAGGCATTGACAGCTACAGGTACATTTCATTTGTGACACAAATAACAAACTAGATGAATGATTTGAACCAGTGCACTCAGGGGATAAACCCTGTGTCCAAATGAGCAGAGATGTGCATTACCCCCTAATGCAAAGATCCACCGAAGCTATGTGGATTACTTTCCCAAACAAGCCCTGACCTCACATTCTGGTTAACACCAAGCTCCCCTGATGTTGCCTCAGCACCCTAATTGTATCTTCTCCCACAACCTCTCCTTATCACGCCTTGGATCGGTTTGGCATCCATTTTAAGTTTAATTAAGCGACTGATGTGACATCTCGCGCGCCTCTAATTAATCACTGACTGGAGGAACGGCGTCTGGTCAAACTACCTCTCTCCAAGGAGAAATCCTGGCGCAGCGCTGCAACCGCGCCGACCGCAACACAGCAAACAAGGCTTCAGCATTTCTGCACAGAACCAAACAGACGCGACGTTTCTGTCTTTTACGCGTGAACTGTGCAAAACATGACAGAGACACCGTGTGAAATGAACATGGCTCCAGCATGCGCGGTTCTAACCCCCCTCATGACTGCATGCATTACTGCAACGGGATGCTTCCCTTCTTTAACTGGTTGGGTGCTTTCTTTTTAAATCCACCCCACATATGTTACCGCAACTGTGCGTATTTAGGGGCACAGAAGAAAAGTGCGACAAAAAGAGCCCAATGAGAATACATAGTGTGGATACGCACCAGCTTAGAGGGAATAAATTACCTAAATCCTAAAGCTTACCTTATGGAGACCTACATGTCTGTCTGAAATCAGCTGCACGGTCCTGCCTGGTGATGCGCGCCTCTGCTTCAGAGGGGAGAAGCGGGCCAATGTCAAACAGCCCAAAGCAGCTGAACCTGTTCGCTATGAGCTTCCACCGTTTTCCAGTCACGCACACCTGAGCCTCTCTCCAAACACCTCTCCTCTCCTTCATCCCTCCACTCTGCTCCTCCTCCTCCTCCTCCTCCTCCTCTCAGCAGCTCATCTCCTGCACATCCCCCTCCTCACCCCCACCCCTACCCCAACGCACACACGCGCACGCGGGAGACCCCTACTCACTAATCTGTATAAAACGTTCGACCACCATTCCCTTTGCAGTCTCTTAAACTATTGGTTAGTTATTCTCTGTTAAAAACTTTTGCAAATTTAGTTCCTATTTAGGTAAAAGCAACATAGAAGCAAATATTTTTTCTGTCTAATTTCATTAAATATTTCAAATATCTCAAATCTCAATCCTGCATGAATGACATCACTTTTCTCATTGTTGTGTATTGGGCTTTCAGCTGCAGACATCTCCAATACGTCTCCTATCATAAATAAACATCTGCAATAGAGGCTTTGATATGGGAATATTTTCAGTATTGTTAGGTATAGTCTTTTTAATTTTTCAAGTTTAGGTTATGAAGTCGTTCGTAAATGGAATCAAAAACTTTGGTACTTTGTCGCTCATCTACATCATAGTTATTTATGTTTGAAATTGCTTTTAAACTTGCAATGTCTCTAATGATGTTTGTTCATTTAAATGATGCACTGGATATTCTAAATTATATTAGGGTTAGGGTTAAGGGTTACAGTTAGAAGATTAATGTTACATAATATAACAAACTGACATATAACATATAGATACAGATACAAACCAGAACTTTTTTTCTTAGCAAAAATTCTGCTTCAAACATCCATAATATTCACTCTAAATAGAAAGAAATAGAAAAACTCAACTCTCATATGAGAAAGATGATGTCATAAGTAGGACTAAAGATGTAGGTAAAATTTTTAGTAAGAAATGTTTTTTTATTTGATGCGTTTGTTTTTACCAAGGAATTTAATGATTTGAAGATATGTCTCACTATTAAATTATCATTTTGCCTGCCATACTGTCCATGTTCTCTCCTCTTTAAAATTTTTATTTCCTCAACTCATTCTTCTTTATTTCCCTGCATTAGAAAAGTTCTTATTAATATGTAATATTGACAAAGAAATCCTTGTGCGTGCCTTTTAGTCTCACCAAGTATCTCCATCTCTTTACTGATCAAACAGACACCAGAGATGACACAGGGCTGGGCTAATGATGCAGTGGAGGAGATCAATAACATCTGAAGTTTCATGGCAGTCACACAAGAGTAAAAGAGCCATTAACCTGTACAGCTTTGCTTGGCGTTCACCTATAGGAGCCACAGGGATTAAATCATTAAAGATAAAAAATCAATACAAATCTAATGAATACATCCCACTCCCCTCTCCAGCATGACGGAGGCACCGTCTGCTGCTGCTGCCAGCAACAAAGAGCTTTTTTTAGGCTATGCAAGGAATAAATAGACCTGTGGATATTCATTGTGATTTAAACTTTAAAATAGTTTCAAACTTTGCACTCCTCCATTTTCTGTCGTATCATCCAGAAATGGTTATTGTAGCCTGTTGTGATGATCTTTCTCTCTATAATGAAGTGTTACTTGAGCCATTTTTGAGCTGTGTCTAAAAAGTGCAAAAATGATTTTTAAAACATCTCTGAGTGCTGTGAAAGATGGCAGCTTAATGCAAAACACAAGATTCAGCATGACTATCATCTCTCAGATGGTTCTGCTTTCTTTTGTAGTGTTGCTCCAAAGCCAGGCAGGTCTGGAGAGTCACTAAAGAAAGCAGGCAGTTTTTGAGAGGCAGATGCAATTTTGGGGGGATTTGGTTAAAAAGAAACACAAGAGGGTTTATTTTTTTAACCTTTTCCGGTCACACCACTATAATATTACCTGTGAACGAAGAAGTTGGAGCCACATACCTTTGCTTGCAGGGGTGAATTCTCCCGGAGAAACACAGCATCCCTCGCGCGTACATCACCGCATCATGCTCTCTGTGGTTAATCTACTTTTTCACTATGGCAACAAATGAACCACTCTCCTCTCGCTTTCTGTCTCTATCTCTTCCTCTCCGCTCCAATGGAGGGGCTCCGTTCATGTCACAAGCCTCCCAGTCTCTCCCTGTGTGTGGTCTGTGTCTGCGCCTCCATACCTCCAAGATACCATCTGGAGATAGATGCTAGTAGAGTGAAACATGCGGAGCGATCCATGGAGAGATGGAGATGGGTCTATGGGATGGGAGAGGCTTTAGAGCTTGGCTATGACAAGGCTTGGATTAATTTCTCTGCCAAATGCATTTGGGATTAGTAGACCATTAAAAGAGCATAGACATGTACGTGCACACACACACACACACACACACACACACACACACACACACAAAGCTGCACACGTTCACATTCAATTCAATTCAAAGATACTTTATTAATCCCAGAGGGAAATTAGAGTTTCAGCACACACAATTCTGAGATCAGACATGCATACATAGGCATAGACACATGACAAGAATTGGTGACTGTGGTCATTCGCAACCCGAGTCGCGCTACCTTAATAGAGATCAGAGGGTTTACGTGAGGATTGGGTCAGGTGGAGGGAAAAAAGGCACTTCAGAGTTACCCTCCACAGGGAGGGCAGCTTTGCTATGCAAAAAACACTTCAGACAGAAATGCAACAGACTTCAGACATTACACAACATAAGTGACCACTAGGTGGGGAGGTAGGATTGGGGACTCTCCACACATCAGTGCATGCAGCCACGATAAGCAGCACTCGTCACCTCTGTTTGGACAGGGGGAGGAGGTTGTTGGGTTTTAGAGAGCACAGTGACTCCTGGAACGATTCAACGGCCTTTGGTCGCAGTCCCGCCCAGGTTTAGCCTGGCAAGCCAGACTAAATAAATGTATTATTTAGTCTGGCCACGCTCCATTGACGGCTCTCGGTTGTGGGGCGGGTTCTACCGTTGTCTTTCAAATGATCTCCGCATTCCACTGGACAATGAATGTGACATACTCTTGTTTCACTCTGTTGCATCATCCCACCCACCAGGCATATAGAGTGCCCTGATTGGCCCACAAAGTGGATAAAGCTCTGTGATTTGTTCACTAAGCACATAGAGCACTATGATTGGCCCACCATTATGGACCAATCACAGCTCTTTATGTGTTTGAAACCCCTCTAGAGAGCTGTGATTGGCTAGCCAGAGTCCTGGTAGGAGCTGCAGAGGTTCCAATGGAGCATGCCTAGACCAAACTTTGCAAAGCAAGAATTTGGTCTAGTTCACTTGGCTAGCCCAGGCTGGGATAGGTAGACAGAGTTGCCATGGCGACGACAGCATTCCACATTTCTTCTTAGGGGGGAGTATTCGCTTCAGCCTCACAGACTCAAGGGCACCAGATTCAGATAAGAAATTGTTTTGGGGCCAGACAGAGATAATTTCCTCTCTGTCTTAAAGTTCTGTTGGTCCTCAACCTCTCTTAATCCAATAATGGCGTAAATTAATCAATCCCAATCCGTGCTGATTCATCAACTCGCTCCTTGATGGAATCCACCTTCTGTGCCAGAGTCTGAATCTCAACCAAAGTTCCAAGCTTACGACTCATCTAGACAATTATATGAGTCTGTGCATTCACAGCATGGTGTAATCCATCTCTGAGCTCTGGGATTGAGCCAGTATTACTCGACAGCTCATTAATTTTCCGGTAAGCCAGGTAACCTCACAGGCCAAAAAGCAGGAAACCTGACACCAACACCACAAATATCCAGACGTCTTCAGAATCCTCTACAGACAGTTGAGATAAGCAGATCAAGTTCCACTGTTTCCAGGAGTCCATGATATGCCCAACTGGATCTGTCCCAGAGGGGCACCCGGGAGCTCTTTCTCCCGTTCTCATCATTGAAAAAATGTTGTCAATCGCGTTGAGAGACCAACTGACCAGGTCCATTTTTAATAATTTCCAGTTTCCAGAAAAAATGCAGAAGCGCCGTACACCCAAAGACAGACCAAGAGCCTTGGGGATAAGATAGGGAGGAAAGGTGGAAAAAAGCGTCTGTACTCTCCAAGAGCCAGAAGAAGAACAGGTGCTGCTTTCTCATGCACACATAAAGGCTGGACATACAGTAGCTGTATTGATTGCCCTGAACCTGATCTCTTTCTCCTGTGTTTTCAGTTTTCTGACCTGGGCCCAAATTATGATTGGCAAAAAAATATTCCACATTCAAGTAAACTTTACCTCTCGAAAAGTGGATCTGATTTTGTCTGCTTGTAAGACAATATTTTGAGGGTTTAAAGAACCGAACATTCTCTCTTTCTCAGCTGTTCAGGTCTCTGAGAGCCTAAACTAAATGAAAGGAGGAGCAACTCCATCAAACATAAGGAAAAAAATCCCCAGAGCTATCAAGACCGTGGACTGTTGAACTAATCAAGATTAATATATTTTTTGAGTTTTTGTATTTTTACTAGTTTTCAGGATCACACATATTTTGCTATGTAGTAAACCAATAAATTTTAACCATATCTAAAAATCAGAAATCTTTTGTCTAAATTTGGAATAAAAGCTTTAGCTAAATGTGTGAAAGACTGAAATTCCATTTTTTAATTTTTTTTCTCATTATAATTGGTCACTCTGTGTTTTTCATGCAAGCTGAACATGAAAATAGTGTCCTACACTTAACTCCTGCATTAGTTTCTGATGGAAAATAGATGGCAAAACTCTAGGATGAGAAAAACTTGACAAATCTATGTCACACTGAAAGAAAAGAAAGAAAGAAAAAGATCTTTTATATAGCGCCACTCAAGATAAATATCACAAGGTGCTTCACAAAAATAAAAAAAATTGTGTATTTTTTTATTATTAAAAAATATAATAAATGGGGAAAAATTAAAATGTGATAAAAAATGTAAGGAAAGGGAAACGAAATTTGAATGAAAAGAAAGAAAGAAATCAGTGAACTCTAGGAAAGGCGGAATAACTAAAAAGAGCAGAATAAGGAGAGGGTAGCGATGAAGGTCACACCAAATCCAGCCTGAACAGGTAAGTTTTCAGCTACTTTCTAAAGGAGACCACTGAGTTCACTGATGTCAGGCTCAGGGGGAGAGAGGTCCAGAGTCTGGGGGCCACAGCAGCAAAT